AAAAAAGGAAATTGATGATAAACGATATAATAATATTAATTAATAAAATTACCTGTAATATACAGGTGAATTTGGTTGTGAATCATTTGAAATTATAGTATGATCAAGAAGTGTTGTATATCGTCGAATTCGTTTAGTATTATGTTCAGGTGATAATGATAATTTCATATCATTATCATCATATTTATGTGATGCATTACTATGCGATGAATGTAATTCTGATTCTATTTCTGGTTCCAAACATACAAATTGTGCTTCTTGTAATAAATGACCTATATTAATTTTAAGTTTATTTATACACAAAATTAAAAAGTGTAAATTTGATTAACAATAAATTATTGGTTGAATATCATTTAAATATATAGATATATTCGAAATATATTTCTAAAAATTTTTCGTTTTCTTATAAAAAATATAAATACATCAAATTAATTATGATATGTAAATATATTAAATTGATTATGATATGTAAATATATTAAATCAATTACGATATGTAAATATATTAAATCAATTACGATATGTAAATATATTAAATTAATTATGATATGCAAATATATTAAATTAATCATGATATATTTTTCGATAAACTAACCATTATTTTCTAATCGATTCTGCTCCCAATATTGCATAGCTGATTTTCCAAAACTTTCAGTAGAATTTAATGCTAACACTTTATATGTAAAATCATGTTCCTAAGTGGATGAAAATTTTAAATGATAAATTTTTAAGTTCGTTTTTCAGTTAATAAATAAATTTTATTACATAAATATATTGTGATAATTTTATTGATTAAATTAAATATTATTGTATATTATTAAGGATAGCAATATTGATTGAAATTTAAAAGTTTGAATGAAAGAATTCTCAATAAATTAGCTATGTGTAAAAAAAGAATATTTCAGATAAAGATCTCAAAAAGCAACTCTTTTTGGTTGTGGTGCATCATTTATTGAAATGCCAATAAAACGACAACCATTTGGTGCTAAATAATCAATTTCGGGACGAATGGAATAGTTGATATCGGTGGAATTTGGAACAATTTTAAAAATAAGTTTATGGGGTGATGTATTAACGAAGATTAAATTTGCTGTTCGTTTATTTAAATTTTCTTTTAGCGGACGTGGCGTAAACATAGGAAATGATGGTTCCAGTAGGATTGGCATATCGGTAATTTTTGGCCTTGAACCATTAGTGTTGGTCATTTTGAATGCAACTAATACAATAAGACAACCAGCATAAGTAGAATAGCATGGACTAACCAAAACAGCTTCCTTTTATAATTCACTGAGAGTGGAATTAGCATAAATTTGAATTTTGTTTCACATTCTTCCCGACATACAATTCAGTGAAAGTATGCATACTGCAGATTTAAATTTATTCCAAAGCTCTAAGAACTGATGAAAGCAGAGAAATTGACAGCCGCATAATGCAAGGATATTCGGAATTTAATCAGAGTCGGAAAAAAACCCAATGAATTTATAAATAACAGAGAGATAAAATTAAGTTGACTTCTTCTCGGAAATTGTAAATCCAACCCAAATTTTTTTAGGTTTTGAAAAGACACCGCCACAACTATTTTATTCTACTATAGTTCTTTAGACTATACTGTGTGTGTGTGTGTGTGTTATGTGTTAAATTTGATTTCTATAAATTTGTCAAATCTTAACAGCTCCACAGAGCTAAATGACAACAAGTCCAACTAATTAAATAACAATTGATATTAATAAACGAATGCTGTCACTCGAAGTATAACAAGAACTTTTATGCGATTAAACAAAAGAAAAATCAAAAGAATACAAAATCAGCGTTTGCCGCCAACTCGTGGCTGTTGGGTTTTCGTTGGTTTTGGTATCTTCATCTTCGATGGAGCAGCCTTCTTCTCCTAAAATTTAATGTTCGATGTATAAAGCATTA